TCCCTTTTTTCTCCTTGAGGACGGTTTACTCCAAACTTGGCCGTTTAAATATGGGGGGACTTCACCCCCCAGAATTCCCCACCCAGCCGTGCTGTCGGGGGAATTCTGAGAGTTGAAGTCCACTCATCTTAAAGTGGCCAAGTTTGGATAACACTGTCCTAAAGGAAAAATCGGGAAAGGAGCAACTGAGGTTGGTGTCACCATGGGCAGACTTGTGGAAGGCCTTACCAGTTCCTGCTTCCCCCATGTGGTTGGGCCTGGGGCAATAAAAGCTAAAATGTCAACAAGTAGGGTGCCCATTTTCCATGGGGTTCTTCTGGGTTTTGCCTTTGCCTTGGAACTGGAAGGAACCAGATAACTCTCTAGAAGGCAGTTCTCACAACCCGGTTGATGGTGATGATGGATTAGTTTAACTCTGTGTTTCTCAGCCTTGGCAACTTTAAGTTGTGTGGACTTCAATTCCCAGAATTCCCCAGCCAAATCCCATACTCTCAGTTTTAACTGGGTTAGATTAACTGGGTCAGTTAGATTTAACTGGGTTAGTTAACTGGTTTCCAATGTTTGTACCACACACTAAATCCTCTGGCCTAATTCACTTGGTCCTGCAGGGTGGGCCCCCCGTTGCTCCAAAGGTGTCTTGGTTGGTTGGCTGGGTTTTTTAAGTTTTACATCCATCTCCTGAACTCCTGTGTTCCTCTTGGCTTTCTCTTTTCCATTGATGCTGTTCTTGGGATCTGGGTCAAACTTGCTGATATGATTACAAGTTTTGGAAGGTTGTTGATATGCCTCTGGCTACCTTAATAGGAACCAGAAGGGACAGGGTAGCTGGGTGGGAAGGAAACAGAGAATCAACTCTGGAGACCCGCACATCACTCAGAGAAGACCAAGATTTGGGCAATAGTAGCTCTCCGGAAGTTGTTGGCTACAAATGCCACCTCCTTTGGTTTAATTTATTTAAGGAGCTTTGAAACCACAACTTGAAGAGCATTTCCCACAACAAGTAAGGGTCTAAACTACATAAAAGCTAGGTCTGGTATTGTCCTATGCTCACATTCCCAGCTCCCTGGCTTGCTGGAGATGATGGGAGGTGGGAATGTGAGAATAAGACAATACCAGACCTAGCTTTTATGTAGTTTAGACCCTTAATTGTTCTGGGAAATGCTCTTCAGGTTGTGGTTTCAAAGCTCCTTAAATATTTGATCCAGTCAACGTTTCATTGTCCTGGATGTGTCTTTATTTTGCCTTCCTTCTCTTGCCTCGTCTTCACAGCCTTTTATCAGATCCGCAGACTTCTTAATCTCTTTCCCCAACTTCTAGACCAGGGATCTCGAAACGTTTTTGAACATGGATATGTTCCTGACCAGGAAACTTTGTAGGAGGAGATCCGTGTTAGTCCATGATAGCAAAAAAAACCCCCAAAACCTGAAGAAAGCTGGTAGCACCTTTTTCAACCAATACATTG